CACGCACGCTCATTCGCTTGCTCTCTAAAATAAATAAAATCTTTAAAAAAAAAAAATAAAAAAATAAAAAAATAAAATGTCTTTAATGAAGCAATAAAAAAATTAATTTTATTAAATCACAACCCACCACTCAGTAAAGTCTTTTTAATATTGTGTGTAGCAAAATACACATAAAGCACTTCTGCTGCATTCTGAAGTAGGATGGTTGTCTCAAGGGAAAGCATTCATGTAGTTACTTGAATTGCAAGCTGCACAAGCTCTTTTTTTCATGGAACACCATTTTTACTATGATTATTCAGACTTGCATACTTGACAGACATTTCTCAAAAATGAAGAAAGTGAGTCTGTCCTGTTGGCAATAACAAAATTCAAGTTTCTAAGCAAAAATTAGAATTTGGGAAAATGTATATATATTTATCAACAAGCTTGATAGCTTAGTAATACTTAAACACTTTTCTTTAGAGATTGGTGGGGATATGAATGAATACTTTTTTTAATATTATATAATGAAATGTATCAAGATCTTGATCAAGATCAAGAATTGTTAAGATCTACATTACCCAGTGAACCAATATTTTCTAAATGATCAAAAATGCTGTTATAAGATTATGCATGGGTAAAAGATCCATTCAACGTGTAACAATTATCAGTGGATTTTGATGTAACACAGTTCCAAAAATTCATGGGGCCAAGGGCAGGCCGCCCCAAGATGGGCCACTTTGACATGAACATTATTTTGAATTAAAATCAATCAAGGGGCGCCTACGTGGCTCAGCCAGTTAAGTGTCTGCCTTCGGCTCAGGTGATGATTCCAGGGTCCTGGAATTGAGCCCCGTACTGGGCTCCCTGCTCAGCAAGGAGCCTGCTTCTCCCTCTCCCTCTCCATCTCGCTCTCAAATAAATAAAATCTTTCAAAGAAAATAAATAAAAAATAAAAGCAATCAAAACTCAGCAGATTCAGGAAAAAAAAAAAAAACCTCAACTGCTTGCTTGTATCACGAAGAAAGCTATTAACAGAGATTCCTCTTTACCTAAGAAACTTACCTACAAAATGGGGTAACCTTTGTTTTCCAAACACCTCCTTTCACCTTCTTGCTAATGATCTTTCTCCCGTTTGTATCCTAAGACCCTTACCCCTCTCCTTAATTCACAGAAGCATCACGTTACCTGTCTTTGGAATTTCCATGTCTGTGTGAATTCCCCGTATGTGCACATTAAATTTGATTTTCTCCTGTTTATCTGTCTCATGTCAATTTGATTCTTAGTTGAACTGGAAGGACCTTGAAAGGCAGAGGAAATTCTTCTTCCCCAACAATAGATACGGTTTTAGACTCTATACTGCAACTAATTTTTAGGAACTACCATGTGTTGACTTTTAGTGAAGGATCAAAGAAAAATATCCACAATTGTCTAAAAAGGCTATTACAATACTTCTTTCTCTTCTAAGTATGTGTCTGTGTGAGGCCAGATTTTCTTCATATACTTCAACTAAAACAACATATTGCAACAACAGATTGGCTGCAGAAGCAGACAGGAGAATCCAGCTGTCTTTTACTGAGCCAGACACTAAAGAGATTTATAGAACTACAAAAACAGTGACACTCTTCTCACTGATTATTTTTGGTGATGTGGAAAGCATAGTAATTTTCATTACAAAAAATATTATTTATATTTACACATTATATATAATGGATTTATTGTTGCTATTTTTAAACTAATTAATAAACATTTGAATTTTTCTGAGTGTTGACTTCTAATACAGTAACTATCTGTAGATAAAACCTGTATCAACAAAAACTCGTTGGAGACTTTAATAACTGTGAAGAGAGTAAAGCAGTCCTGAGACCAAAACTGTCGCCACAGACATTATTTTGAGCTCAATTTAAGTTAGCTGAGAAGAAGAGAATATAAACAACACTGAAATTCATAAAAGAGAAACACCATGTATGGTTTTAGATAAAAGACCAGAGCAAAAGCTTCAAATCCCCAAGCTAGTCCATTGTGTAAAAGGTGAGACTACTACTTTCACTTATCATATACGCTAACGTGTAAAAGTATAGAAAGAAAAGAAGCAGTCAAGGAGATGGCCTGTAGAATTAAAAAGTAATATAAGCTCTTTCTGAATCAATATGTTAATACATGTTACAAGCCTTAATATGTTTAGGCTCCATGACTCAGTAATTCCCCTTTTGAATAATCTTTCTTAAATTAAAAAAGAAAGAAAGAAAGAAAGAAATTTGGAGAGATTACATATAAGGGTAGTTAGCAGGCATCAGATGAAACATTTAGCCAAAGGAACTAAATCTAAATGGAGAAAATACTTTATGCACAAAGATGGTCATTAAAAAATTATTCTCTTGAAAAACCAGAAATAATCTATAGAAAATTTAGCTCTGCAAATAGCTATTTCTAAGAAAACTATGAGATAATTATGACTGCTATAATGAAATAACACTGTATAGCATAAAGTTTCAGAGTAGTATTAATGTGGAACCAACTCAAAGAAATAGCATTAAAAGAAAAAAGACAGAAAAATGAGTATATTCAACAAAAACTAGGTTTTAAAAAAATTTTAGAAAAAATGGCAGAGAAAAATATACAGTAGTTATTCTGACTCTTCTAATTTTATATGATTTTGAAACTTTAAGAGTATTTATAATAGTTTTAGCAAAATATTTTAACACAAAAAATTATAATAATTCTGTTGATAGTTTTTATTATTAAAGAATAGATAAAATCGGCTTTCAAATGTTTTATTGTACTCACTTATAGTCTCTCTCCCAGAATTTCACAGGTCGAACATAAGAAGTGATGAATATTGCACTTCCCAGAAAGGGATTTAGTGGAGTAGAAAAAAAGGCAGATACAGCAGCCTGAACAAACAACATGGCTGAATCTATGAAAAAACTAGTTAAGGATTTTTAACATTCATTTGAGTGAGCGCACGTGTATGCGCACACACACATACACACACACAAATACATCTCACAAACATACTGTGCTTACAGCAATGAGAACAATGTGGTTCATCAGAGGAACACAAAAGAGGGTGTCCTTGGACAATATAAAGGGGTACAAGCAGAAAGACACAGCCAGGAAAAGTACACCCTGGCATGATGCTTTGAAGGGAGTCAAATAAATATTTGCTAATATGTATTTGGTAAAAGTCCATACATTAACTTTGAATAAATATGCTTGGGTTTAATTTTCCAAAAGATCAAACTAAAATTTATAGATACAAAAAGTCTGCTTTTCAACATCAATGTGGTCACTAACCTTTACTTTTACTTAGACAGTACTTTTAAGAAACAATGAGAATAGAAAATTTTAAACATAGTTCCATTACAATCATATGATTATGAAAAATGTTTGTACTTTCATTCATTTAAAAATATTTCTAAACATTTTGTATTTATTTAAAAATTCCTAGACTTTAATGCTTACTACATATGTAAACATAAAATTTTAAATCAGCATTACTTAATTATAAAATCTTAATACTGTCCTCATGTTCAGATGATCTGTGGGTCTGAGATGTTAATACAAGTTAAACAATCAAAATAGGTACAGATAGGGACTCAAAGGACTGAGAATATTTGATAATTTACCACCTAGTAATCTATATTCTATGCCTATAAAAGGTTATGCCTACAAACCAACATTCACATTAAGGATGTGACTGCTCTTTCTTATATAACTTTTATTAGAAGGATACGGGGCACTGCAAAGGGCTGAGCAAAAGCATGGAAAGCAGAGCCCCATGTAATCTGCCATGGGGCAATGTAAGTGTATACAAACTGCAATTTATAAAGGAGTTCCCAAAGCTGTAGGAGAAAAAGAAAAACAATCAGTAAAAAACTTATCATCAGATACTTCAATTAGAAAATGAAAGACCTCTAAAATGTATTGTTTTTCTGATAGGAAAATGGCATTGAAATTATTTGCCATTTGCATAAAAGGAAAAGACGTGTCAACTGCCAAAACACTGAATATATATTTAAGTGCAGACAGCTAGCTGATTTATGGACTTGTGTTTCATCTGTTTAAAAAACTCTATGCCCTCTATTTGGTTATATTACTACTACTACAAGCAAAACATAGAAAGGTAGGAAATCTAGATGTTTATAAAGCTTAAGAAATTCATACATATTTTTATTCCAGGACACATTTTCCCCAAGTTTAGTGCTTTGAAAACTGAGTATGTTTTAAATGCAATGTCAAAAGAAATTTGAAAGCAGCCAGGCAGGAAATAAAGTTGTAACACGGATGTCACTGCCTGTCTGCCTAAGGATTTAGTAGTGCGTATCAGGCATCTGTTCTTAATCTCAATTGTGATTGTCAATGGAAACACAACACACATTTTAATTTTCTGTAAATTATGATTTGTTTTGTTGTTGAACATGTCTTCAACACTGAAACAGAATGACTGTATTTGCACAAAATTGCCTCTGTAGGTCAGGCAGTGCAAGACCCAACTCACAAAACAGACACAGGATCTTAGGGGCAAGAGGTTCGGTGCCGTAATTAGGGCACTAAACAGCTCATATTTAAATTGTTCAACTAATTGCAAATGAACCTGTTTAACTTCCAATTTAAAAAATAAATTACAACTTCAACCAATTACAAAATGCAGATGAACTCCTGCATTCTTTGCCATGATTCAAAATTATGCTGGTAATCCTTGATCAGGATGTGATCAGGATGACAGAAGTAAAAGCAGCATTTATATTATCAAGATGCCATTATAACTGCCTAAAAGCAGTACTTCAGAAAACTTAAGATTCTAAATGTGAACCAGACTGAACTCAAATTTTGACTGTAATGTTGAAGAAAAAATGATATGCAATTACAAAGATAAGTGGTTAGTGGGTAAAAGCACTTTTGTACACATTCATAGTAATTTTTTCTTGTAAGATTATTTAATTGGTGGTGCATCTTACAATGATATCTTAAACAATATATCTAGAGATCCCTTGAAAATTACTTGCTTACTACCATTGTTAAGTTCTATCACCTAACCTTACATAATGCAAAGTCCTTAAGGGCAGAGCTTTCCCTATGTGCTCACTGATGTAGCCTAAGCATCTAGAACAGTCCTGGAGCATTGTATGCTCTGAAGGACAATTTGCTTAACAAACGAAAGTATTAAGAAAATCCAAACTAATGCAAATTAAGTCTATTTCAGAGATGGGTTTCTATTTTATTGAAACTTTCACTTTTTTCCCAACCAGTATAAGACGCCATACAATTTCCAAACTAAATATTTAAATTTGTGAGAAACCACATGCTTCTTTATACAAACAATTCTTTGATTAACTTTCTGGCTTCCTCCTTTGGTTAGCCATGCTCACTAGAAGAGGAAATAAATGATAAAAATGCATACAAATTAGTGATTGAACAAACATAACACTGCAGTATTTTAGAAACTACTTAGTACAATATTTAGCCCAATATTTTGAAATTGACTATCACTAAAACCTTGTTCAGATTAATGGTTTTCCATTTGTAACCATTCCATTAATGGTTTCCATGTTCCCATCCTAGGTTAGACCTCTATCACATCTAAATTACACTCACAGTCTCTTAAACTGTTCTCCGTACCTTTAGGTTCTCTCTTCCCCAATTCATCCCAAATGTGGCTGACCAGGCTAACTTGCCTAAAATTGGGCTTTCACTGTGTTTTATAGCTGTCATATGCTTCAGCTCTCTGTTACCTATCAAATGGGATAATATATGTCAAAGTCCTTTTTATGTGGTCAGTGTTAACATGAAATCTAAGCTCAATTTAACTTATAATCTGACTCACAACCTATTTCATTTAGAAAGGTAGTATGGTTCAGCAAAAGGGAGGCAGAAGACCCAGGTTTTGCCATCTCATTTGCAAAAGGACTAAAAGTACTTCTATTAGGGGTGGATAATAAATCTTAGAAACATTTCATAATTTTCAGAGTATTCTGCAAATGTCAACATCAAACTAGTTCTGATTCCTCCCACACGGCCTCACTGGCCTCAGTATCTACCATCTTCATTCAGCTATCAGGTTATTTACTCCCTCCATCTATCCAGCAGCCCACAGCCCAGTTCCATTATTACCATGTCTATTTCTAGAATTATTCAAAACCACACCCACTTTTGGAAGATCCTATATATTTAAAAATACATAGCTAATGGTGTTTCTCTAATTTTTCTATATAACTTAATCTTATCTTCCTTCCTATAGCAAGAAATATGTCTTTTATGGATCATAGCGACTAGCATTGTTTAGGGATTCTAAAATGCTCCTAAAATAACTGGTTGATTGAAGAAAGGTATTACTTAAAAGATAATGAAGCAAATGAAATGCAAGTAGAATCCTCACTAAACAGTGTATTAGTCAGGGAGATAGTACTTTTTATAGATAGCGATATTCCTTTCAGTAATAAATTACCTTGTTGAAGAGTATGGACATGAAGAAGAGATCCAACAGCATGGTCTCTGAAAATGCTTCATAGTCAATTTTGAAAAAGAGCACAGTAAAGATGACTGTGACATACTGATATGTAGGGCTGCTAAAAGAGGATCGTAGCAACTTCAGACCAGCAATGGTGATCATTAAAGCACCTAATCTATGATATAAAGAAAGCAAAACTCATCAATCAATGACTGAGAACTTCAGAAAAATCTACTAACTTCAGAAAAATCACCATTTCATTAACTATGCTTACAAAATATATCAAATGTAAACTTCTGAAAATGATTTATACAGCTAGGCAAATCGCATCCTAAAATAAACTATTACAGTATTTCCTTTTAACAATATGTAATATGATTCTTATTCCTTTATATAAATAAGCATGTTTAAAAAAAATAAGTAACAGTATTGCAATTCTAATATATGGTTCTCCAGTTTCTGGATATTTTTATTGCTTTAATATTAATAGCATTTAGCATATAAAAAACATGTATTAAGGCTTACCCAACAACATGTACCTAGCCTAGTGGGTAGGCTTATAGGATGACTACACAGGCAAGTGACCACCTATATAGCCTGATTTACACAATAGACAAAAACAGACATCTCTCAAACTTACCATCTAATATTAAAAATTAACTTTATTTAATAAACGTCCTCTCATAAAATATTAGTTGAGGATAAGATGTCTGGAGTAGTGATACACAAGAGCAGAAACAGATATTCAGGCAAGGGAAGTTAAAGACACAATTTCACCTGAATTTTTTTTAATCTCATACTGCATTGCACCAAAGAGACAATTATTTGCTACTTGATCAATGTCTTAGGACATTGCTTATGACAGCCCCTAGCAGTTAAACATTGATGAGAGGAGTATTGTACTTACTCTGTATCCAGTTTTTTTGGACTAGCAATTGTCTCTGCACTGTTACTAAGTTCATTGAGAACAATCAACGGATAGATGATATTCTTCTCCACAAAAAGAAGCCACACATGAAGTTTCTCAAACCACATCATAGTGGCTGCATCTAACAAAGCAACATAAGAAGATCACATCATCTAATGTATAAAATATAGACATACCTCATTTTATTGTGCTTTACTTTATTCCACTTTCCAGTTACTGCATTTTTTACAAATTGAAGTTTTATGGAAACCCCGTGTTGAATAAGTCTATCAGCACCATTTTCCAACAGCATTTGCTCACTTCATGTCTGTCACATTTTGGTAATCCTTGCAATATTTAAAACTTTTTCATTATATTTGTTATGGTGATCTCTGATCAGTGATCTTTGATGCTACTGTTGTATCTGCTTTGGGATAACATGAACTGCACCGATATAAGATGGCAAACTTAACCAATAATGTATGTGGTCTGACTGCTCTGCTGACCAGCTGTTTTCCCCATACCTCTCCCTCCTTTCGGGCTTCCCTATTCCCTGAGATTGAAATTAGGCCAATTAATAATTCTACAATGGCCACTTATAAGTGTTCAAGTGAAAGGAAGAATTGCACATCTCTCATTTTAAATCAAAAGCTGGAAATGATTAAGCCTAATGAGGAAGGCATGTTAAAAGCCAAGATAAGAGCACCTGGGTGGCTCAGTTGGTTAAGTGTCTGCCTTCGGCTCAGGTGATGATCCCAGGGTCCTGGGATCAAGCCCCGCGTTGGGTTCCCTGCTCAGCAAGGAGTCTGCGCCTCCCCTTCCTTCTGTCTCTGCCCCCAACTTGTGTGCTCTCTCTCAAATAAATAAATAAAATCTTTAAAAAATAAA